TGTGTAGTTTTGATATTCCGCACTAACATTTTAAGCATCTTAAACATTTTTGTTGCTGTCATGTGCAATTTTAGTAATAACAGATCAGCAATAGATCATACAGGCCTTTAAACAAATCAGAAGAAGTAAGGTAAGACTCTCAGATGGGATGTGAAATGTCATTCCTGATGAAAGGCCACTTCTTTGTCCCGTTTTAGGCCCTTGGAAGTTGCATCCCGTCTGTTGACGTAGTGCCGTGCTCTGGTTGAGTTCTCTGGTTTTCGTGGGGTCCCTAGCAGTGCCCCTCACAGTCTGTGCCATCTTGGAATGGATGAGATAGAGCGTGTCGACCAGGCACCGGGCTCAGTGCTGTTTTTCTCACAATTCTGTCCTGGCTTTGGAAGGGGTTCTCTCCTGTCTGAAATCATACCCCCTCATGAACGGCAGTCTCACTAAACAGTCCAGCACCACAGTCGGGCTGCCTTTGAGAATGAGCCCCCCACCCAGGTCCAGAGCCATTCCCCCCACAAACACTTAGCCCCCAGTCTCGCCCTTTTAAGCCCATGGTTGCAGCCACCGTCAGAGGCAGTTGTTGAGGGCTTTCCCACTGACCACACGCCTCGAAGCCCCGACTGCAGTATTGGGTCCACGTTGATCTCCAGCTGCCGCTGGTTCCGGGAATACCGGCACCTCCCTCCCCGTGGCGCACGGGCGGCCGCCGTGGCTGACTCCTCAGCCTCCGTGAGTCCGAGCTGAGCGCCATGAAGTGCAAGGGCTGGTTTCTCAGTAAACCGGGGGCCTCGGTGCTGACACGCCTGCGGTGCCCCAGAACTGCCAAGCTTTCAGTCAGCGGCCCAGCATGGCACCCAGCTCGGAGAGGACGCGGGGCGTCGGGACCCCGGGGAGGTAAGGTCTCCCTCCTGGACACCACCCTATCCCTCGCAGAGGCCTTGTGGCTGCCCCCCCAGAGTTGTGAGGCAGGGTCGGGGTGGGGGTGTCCCTGTGGGTCCCCTGGAACTGTGGCTAATCCACAGAGGGGACTGTGGCTGACCGCCAGGGCCAGGGCCATGAGGCAGGGTCGAGGGGTCCCTGGGGTCCCTGTCGGCACAGGAACTGGCTGACCTCCAGGGCCAGGGTCTTGAGGCAGGGTCAAGGGGTCCCTGCGGGTCCCCATGGGCAAAGTGACTGTGGCTGACCCCCAGAGCCAGGGCTATGAGGCAGGGTCGAGGGGTCCCTGCGGGTCCCTGTCAGCACAGGAACTGTGGCTGACCCCCAGGGCCACGATCGTCAGACAGGGTCCCCATGGGCAAAGGGATTGTGGCTGGCCCCCAGGGTCGGGGGGGAGGGCCTCCCTGTGGGTCCCCGTCAGTACGGGGACTGTGGCTGACCCCCAGGGCCAGAGTTGTGAACCAGGGTCAGGGGTCCCCTGGGGTCCCCTTAGACACTGGAACTGTGCCTGGAGGCGGCCACGGTGGGCCCCGGGGCCATGGACTTAGGAAGTCTCCTCCTGGCCTTCATTGTCACACTCTGGGGGGACATTGTGTCCAGGAGCGGGAATGGAGGGGGCCAGCAACGAGTAGATTTCCTGGAACTGTTGAAAAGGGAACTTTCTGTGACGTAAGTCCTAGCATCCCCGCGTCCCAGTGCCCCGGAGGGCGGGCCGGACCTGAGCAGAGGCCAACTCCCGGCTTCGGCCTCCTCCAGGCCGCCTTGTCCCTGTCCCGCCTGCATCGTCCCCAGTCCTGCCAGGACTCAAGCTTGGATCTTGGCAGGAAAACTATTGCTTGAATTTACAGAGGACGTGTGTGAGGTGGTGGGCACAGGTCCTACTGAAAACCCTCGTGGGGACCTGGTGGGCATCTCTGTTAGCACAGCTTTACAGAACTAAATAATAGATGGGGAAATCCTTGTCTTTCAGTATCTATGAGCCTGTTGTAAGGTAGTAGAAAGCGTCTGTTCAGTCTGAATTCTTCCTTTTCCTGAATAATTAAGTAACAAGCTTCACATGCAAGCTGAGAATTTATTTGGGGAAAAAAGATACCACAGGTCTAGCTAATCTTAAACAGGAGAACTTGGACGGAACAGAGCAAAGCATGCATGTCTCCAAGCAAAGATGGAATTGGAGAGGTGTTTTGGGTTTGTTTGGTTTTTTTTTTTTTAAGTAAGTTTGGGGTGGGTGTTTTTTAAGGCCCTAGAGGTGGGGCTGACCAGATTCTCACCACTGGGCCAATTGGATGGATGATGAAGAGATTGAGATTGTTCACAGCTTTAGTCGGCTTGGCTCCACAGTCAACACTCTGGG